CCCGAGGGTTGGCGCCCAACCTTCTTGAACGTTTAGGGTTTAGGGTTGTTTAGGGTTTAGGGTTTAGGGTTTAGGGTTTAGGGACCTGTGTTCAGGGTCAGAGCCCCAGCCCTACACTGACTAGGAAGCCCTACTTTGGCACAGGCGACAGCTCCAGAAAACTCCTCCTGATTCCCCAAAGACCGGATCTTTGGATGCCGCCTGGATCCCAAAAGTGCGTAGAACAATAGACTCTTATAGGTATTGGGCCATGATTTAACCTTCTGTTGGGGCTCTAGCTGAACCCAAAGTTAGTGCTGCAGCTCCGGGAGTAAGAAGGGCGTCCAGGAAGGCTTTGTCAACGCCAAACCGAAAGCCCGTGACGAGGCATAGCTTAGGCTATAGAGGGGCCTGAGTTACTCGAAGGGCGAGTGTTCTACTGACTCAGGCCCCAAGCCCAAGACTCATTGGCACCCAAAATCCAAAACCCCGGCGCCAGGGCGTCGGGTTGAGACATACGATTTCCCGGTTTGTAGACAAGCAAACAAACGAACGGACAAACGACCAAACAATAAGACTACAAAGACCGCCCACGTACAAAATTCAAAACGATTTCGGGTTGAAGATGGCTGATGATTTCTGAGTTTTGGAAGAATCTAAATTCGACAGCTTGTGAAGCTCCGACTGTGTCCTGCGTGAGTTTAGGCCACAAGGTCCGGGGCGAAGTCCGCATGAGGCGCCCTAAGGTTGTGGCACGAACCCCTGGTTGCATCTCGTCTGCATGTACACAGATACCCGTATGTGTGTGCATAGCAGAATGCTTGGATTGGCAGTTTCTGCGTCACGTCTGCCTGCAACGCCCTACCAAACAGCAAAAAGATCCCGGAACCCAATTCTATCGGAACATCCATCCCAAAGGGTCCAAGTACCAAAATAGTAGCTACTTAGGCCCCCCCGAGCCCTAAACCCTAAAACCCTGAACCCCAAACCCTAAACCCCTAAACCCCTAAACCCCTAAACCCTGAACCCTAAACCCTAAACCCTTACTACACCATTACTTGGACCCTTTGGGTTAGAACATCCATGCAAACCCGGAATACGAAGCGAGCCTCGACGAAGGGCTCGGCCCCTGCGGATGGCAGCGCCCATCCGCCGCCCTCGCCGGGCAGTAGCCCTCGGCCGCGGAAAAGGTTTAGGGTTTAGGGTTTAGGGTTTAGGGTTTAGGGTTTAGGGTTTAGGGTTTAGGCGGAAAAGGTTTCCGAATTTCCGGGTTTGGGATTTGGTATTTAGGGCTGATGTACCTCAATTACCTACTTTGTTGTTGGTTCCCATTCCCAACCTGAATATATAGAATTCATAGGGGGCGCTACAGTCGAGTAGGCTTTGGTAGTTTGCAGCGTTTCCAGCTCTGTTGGTTGAACCCTCAGCCCACACATTGAGGCTTGGGGGTTTAATATAGGGGCCTTCATGGGCCCCTATACTCTAATTATAATAAGGACCCCCCAAAACCCTATTCTGATTATTAAGGCCCTTTATGCCTCAGGTTGTCCAGGGTTTCGAGACCCAGCAGAGGGATGTCGAACATGGATCGTTAAAGCGTTTAGAGCTGTCTAGTCAAGAGCTGTAAAGATCGAACTTGGGGAACAGGTTGCGGTGTCTTGCACTTGAAGCAACATTGGACGTAGTAACGGAGCAACAAACAAACTTAAAGTAGGGGCCCTAATAATAAGAATAGGAATAGGGTTTTGGGTGCTCCTTCTTATAATAACTTAAAGTAGGGGCCCTAATAACAAGAATAGGAATAGGGTTTTGGGTGCTCCTTCTTATAATTATAGTATCAGATACCCCCCCCCCAAGCCCTATTCTAACCCACCTAAACCCTAAACTCTAAACCCTAAACCCTAAACCCTAATTAAGGCCCCTATATGACTGGCTTCAAAAGGCCTCCAAGCAGGGATTCAGGCTTCGAGCTCTCAGGCTCCGATCGATGACTTCAGCTCTTCGGCTTCGGGTCTGGGATCCGTGTGCCTTCGGAGACTGAAACAAATTGAAATCCCGAGACCAAAGCACCTTAGAAGCCTTAATGTCTAGAGTATGGGGTTTTAGTGGTACGTTCTGGTGCAGAATTAGAAGAAAGAGCCCCAGGAACAATCCCTTTCTCACAAACGGTGGCCGTGCATGCCAGACGGGCCCTACTTGCACACCGCGGCACTAAGGGACGCCTGCGCTCGTTGTCGCGCTGCTGCAGGTACGACACCTGCCGCTGGAGACGCTGAGGGTCTACGATGAAGGCTTTAGCATTCAGAGTCGAGGTAAGGAGTTTCGGGCAAGTTCGGGGGCCGGGTGGTGTAGATACCACCCCCTAAGCCCTGTTTAAGAAGCCAACAGATATTTCATAAAATGGAAAAGGGTGCTCGAGGCCTATCTGTTTGGCGCGAAAACCCTTTCCGGCAAGATGCTGCTTCACAAAAAAAACCGTCATAATTAACAAGTTCCTGCACTTCTTTAGCTTCTCGAACCCATCTGTAACATTGAGCATCCCAACGGATTCGCTTCGACACAGAAACAGCACTGCAGAAGACTACAGCCTCACACATGCAAGTGTAAACGGAACACCTGTATTGAACACTTGCTGTGGAGACCTCAACGTGCATGAACCCTACCCTTTCTGCAACCTGGGATACCAAAACGTACCAAAATAATGTACAATCTAAATCTGACACATGACGACAAACCTCAGCTTGTAACATGTTTATCATGTCAACATCGCCGTCTAGTCTCAGCGCACCTTCCGTGCTGAGCGCCAGCACGGATGCCACTAAGCGAGTGGCCTCCGAGGGCGAAAGAATAGAGTCACAAAGCTCTTCGAAAAACTGTCCATGCATTTGTGCGTTTCGGCTTATGCTGCTGAATTGGCAGTGTGGAGTTCTGTGGTCTCTGACGTACGTCAACGGATGCTTCGACTGCCGGTTCAGCCAGACGCTGGCTTCTTGCTCGGAGCTGGCGTGAAGTTACAATAGCCAAGGGGTGAAGAGGAACAACACGGTATCGTAGTTGGCATCAGGGCCCAGTCCAACATCCGAAGCATTAGATGCCTTACGCCCCTTGCAACTACACCCCTAAACCCGAAACCATAAATCCCTGTAAGCATATATAGTTACCAGTCTCCCTTCAGCTCCCTAAACCCGCATGCCTGAATCCAAGATCCCCAGTCCGCAAGTCGGATGACAGCCGGGTTCAATTTCTGAAGCTTGCGCTTTATAGTTGGTCAGTTGTAGGGTATCTACCCATGACCCCCAAAGCAGTTTCTTTTTGGGGCTCATATTCAGAACTCCACAAGGTAATCCCAAAAAGGAACTACTATGGGGCCTATGGGCTTGCGTATCTTCGGGCTTGCGGTGCGGAGGGCTACACAACATGGAGTTTCAGAGAATGCCGGCCTTAACTGGCAGTATCTTCTTAATGAGTCTTTCGAAATCGTAGGGCCCCGAGATTTGAGAAGCCCCCATGAAGTCTGGCCTCTGCGAAGAGCGCCGCCTGAGGGCGGCGCATTTCCTCCTCACCTTACACGCTGCTTTGAGCTGTCCAAGAGAGATGCATGCACTCTCTGCGTGGTTAGGTGGATAGTAGCCGTGGTGTCCAAAAGTCTTCACCATGTTGGCACATGCTTGGCTGTTGTGTCTAATATAGGGGCCTTCAAAATTAGAATAGGGTTTGGGGTATATTATCCTGTAATTTTAAGAAGACCCCCCCCCCCCAAAAAAAAAACTACATTCTACTTATTAAGGCCCCTACATTAGTTATATCCTTAAGCATCCCGATGAGGTGAGGCCTGGTTTCAGGCTTCTGGAGCCGGGGACCCAAGAGACTCCAATATCCCTTAATTAAGGAATATTCCTTAAATTATAGTAGGATCCTAAATAAGATTTAAGGAATATTCCTTAAATTATAGTAGGATCCTAAATAAGATGTAAGGTATATTCCTTAAATTATAGTAGGATCCTAAATAAGATTTAAGGTATATTCCTTAGTTAAGGGATATTGGAGTCTCTGGGACCGAATCTTTGGGCCGACGAGTCGCTTAGTCACAAACCGAACAACCCTCAAATCCAAATCCCAAAGCTCTTGTATAGGGTTTAGGGTTTGAGTTAAGGTTTGGGTTTATAGAGTTAAGGTTTGGGGTTTAAGGAGTTAAGGTTTGGGGTTTATAGAGTTAAGGTTTGGGGTTTATTGGGTTTAGGGTTCCAAAGCCCAAGGCTCCTGTCTAGGGTTTGCGGTTTAGGGCTTTTCAGGTTTAGGGTTCCAAAGCCCAAGGCTCTTGTATAGGGTTTATAGGGTTAAAGGTTTTTAGGGTTTAGGGTTCCAAATCCCAAAGCTCCTGTAAAGGGGTTTATAGGGTTTAGGGTGTTTAGGGTTATTAGGGTTCCAAAGCCCAAAGCTCCTGCATAGGGTTTAGGGTTTAGGGGTTCTTAGGGTTTTTAGGGTTCCAAAGCCCAAAGCTCCTGTACAGGGTTTGTTAACAATTTTTTGGGTTGTTAGGGTTCCAAATCCCAAGGCTCCTGTATAGGGTTTAGGGTTAAGGGTTTATAGAGTTAAGGGATTTTAGGGTTTTGGGTTCCAAATCCCAAAGCTCCTGTATAGGGTTTAGGGTTTAGGGTTTTTAGTGTTATGAGGGTTCCAAAGCCCAAAGCTCCTGTGTAGGGTTTAGGGTTTAGGGTTTTTAGGGTTTCAGGGTTCCAAAGCCCAAAGCTCCTGTATAGGGTTTATTAACAGTTTTTTGGGTTATTAGGGTTCCAAATCCCAAGGCTCCTGTATAGGGTTTTGGGTTTAGGGTTTATACGGATTAGGGCTTTTAGGGTTTAGGGTTCCAAAGCCCCATGCTCCTGTCTAGGGCTTAGGGCTTATCGGGTTTATTGGAATCAGAGGGTTTATGGGGTTTAGGGTTTACCCTAAACCCTAAACCCTAAACCCTAAACCCTAAACCCTAAGGTTATTAGGGCTCCAAAGGCCACGGCTCCTGTGACAGGGGGCCAAGCTCCATGAATCCTATGCCCTCGCTCCCGCCGTCGCGACAGGGGCTTTAATAACCAGAATATAGTGATATACATGTATTATATATAACTCTAAGCAGGAACCCCAAAGTAGTATGGGAAACTATCAAGACCTCTACAATATCTATGACTGTCATTCGGGGAGAAAGCTTTAGAGCCCCTCAAAAGCACATAAGCAAAAATCAGGATAGGGACATCCCATATAAATCCCCTTACAATGAAACCCAATAAGGTTGGGATATCCTTATAGAATGCTTATGCTTATGTCCTTTTGGGGTTCCTAAAAAGCTAGGACGGCAGAGGCCGGCACCCACGGAGGCAAAGCGGAAGGGCGCTGCCAGGCGCCGGATGAGGGCGCGGGCGTCCTCCAGGCCTTGCTTCGAGTCTTCAAAATGACAAGTGGGGGATGTTCTGTTTAGGGTTTAGGGTTTATAGGGTTAAGGGTTTAGGGTTTATAGGGTTTAGGGTTTAGGGTTTAGGTGACTGAAAAAACCCTATAAAGCTCTAAGCCACACGAGACAAGTTGAACGCGTTTGTTCTCTTAAATATAGTCATCATTTTCTGACAGACGTCTATATCTATATCTAGAGGCTCTATCTAGGCCCTTGGTCCATGGTAGACCAGCCAAGGGTTCAGGGAGCTCCGGGCTTCGGGGCTTCGTTCCTTAGGTCCCTTTGTTGAGCTACTGGGGACTTTCGAGCCCGGGCGGTTTAGGGTTTAGGGTTTAGGGCTTAGGGTTTAAAGCTTCCGGGGTTTGGGATCCAAGTTGGAGCTGTAGGACTTCAGCGTTGTGCGTATTGAAGTTCGGGGCCTGCTGGAGTTCGGGGGCTGCTTGACTGCCGAAGGCTATGGGGCGTAGGTTTCAGACGTCGAGGCGTCGAGGTTCCGGGGTTTAGGAATCCGGTCTTGGGTGGTCGTTGGACTTTGAAGGTTGCTGCATGAGACTTAAGCTTTAGGGCTGAATGGTCAGGGGCTGAGTGCAGAGCAGAGGGCTCACGAATCAAGGCTTTAGGGGTGTGGAAGGGCTTGAGCAAGAGCAGAGAGTCCGCAGAACTTTGTCCAACGGTGGGAACCTCGAAACCTGTGTGTTAAGATTGTATCCCTCAGACACAAATCCAAAATCCTCCACAGAAATTATTTGCACTTCGACCCACAAGCTTACATTCAACTGGCAGGCAAACCTGCGCACCCCCAGCCCTAAACGGCGTTCTATCGAAAATAGAGATGGTTTTAACACCTGCATAAAGTGGGAAACCGGATTAAGGACAAATAATGCTGGGATACATTACTCTTAAGGATTGAGGCTATCGGGTTTCCAACTTTTGGGCTTCTACTGTAAGCCTTCACGTCGCCGTGCTTGGGAGCGCCTGTTGAGCCTCAAGCCAGCCCTTGCCCCGAAGGCTTTAGGGTTTGGGGATTAGGGTTTGGGTCCAAAGACACCGAAGCCCCGAATGGAAGGACCTTGAGGTCTTGAGCCCACCGTCTCTTCGCGTTGGGGCTAGAGCGGTGGACCCGTGAGGGGTTAAGGAACCCAAAGAACCCAATGCTCGCAAGTGTAAATATGGGGACCTTATGGATCGGAATAGGGGTTGGGGCAGATTTTCGGAGAATGCTGATGAGGAGCGCCAGAGAATACTGTTGGTAACTATTATTCCGGGGACACAGTGTCAGCAGCCAAACAGCCAGCACTCCCTACTGAAACGAACCAATCAACAAACATGTGTGCAACGTTGCAGCAAGCACTAGATGCCCCACTTGCACCACCCAAGACGCAAGAAGCCTCATTTATGCAACATCAACCTTATCAACGCCCTACATAAACCACTATAGAACCCCATGACACACCCTAAACCCTAAACCCTAAGCAAACCTGAATTCCGAGGACGGCTCTGATTTTGAGCTCCTCCTGAGCCTCTTTCAGCCGCTTGAAGGCATCACCTCCACAACTGAGCCCCCAACTATGCGCTCAGGGTTTCAGGGTTTAGGGCGTGCTTTTGTTTCCATTCTTCCAGGGTTTAGGGTTTTAGGGCTCTTGACCTTAAACTTTCCGAGATCCTCTAATGCTTAGACCCCGAAGCTCTAAGCAATGAAGGAAGAGTAGGAAGGTTTTGGTACTCAGCGGGTTGTGGCCGGCGTTGGGCCACGGCGGCCATGAAACCCCATCTTTGGCGAGCAGATAAAGTGCGATGCCCTAGCGAGCCAGTTGTCACCACAGACTTCTAACCATGACTGATAAGAACACGAAAAGGGGCAGTAACCAAGTATGTCGGGCAACCACGAGGAGGACTCGAACATCTGTCGCAGGGTTGAGCTCGCTATATGTGCACATGCAGGTGGCACTCGGCATGTGTGATTGGTGTTGCTGATGATTAGTCGTTTGCCTCTATGCAGGTAAGTATGCGGCAAGAAAGTCGAAAAGTTGGTGTGGTACGCTCGGAAGAAGGCAAGCATTGAATAGTTGTTCAACCTCCTCGAAAAGGCACTGAACTCCCCCCCTTAAAAAAAAAAACACGGCAACTCTTCTACGGAGTGTCGGATTCTCGGCCGGTTGAAACTATGGAGTCATGCAGCCCTACAGCAACGACGACGGGGCATCCGTCGCGTACTGACATCTTTCTGTTTCATTCGAGATGTCGATTAGGGCAGTCTATATATAGGCCCGGATACCCAGCCTGCATCGGCGTTGTCTGGATTCTTGTCTGGGTGAAGTGCGCGCGACAGCTGACCTCGGGAAAATCCCATGCTTAGTTGCCTAGGGTGCTCTGATGCAGCATCTGCACCTCCTCATGAGCCTTTGGAAGTGAAGGTGTCGTAATTGTGATTTCGGGGGGCACTTGAAAAGACAGAAACCGTTTAAGGCTCCACAACCACAGGGTTCTACAATAGGGTCCCCTTTAAGGGTACTATTAAAGGGATGAGACGTTACCAGCCAAGGGGCGAAAGGCATAGGCCACGTCAGCATCGCCGTAGCCACCGAGATGGCTACCTGTTTGTTCTGCCCACTCAGAAGGGTTTAAGGGTTTCGGGTTTAAGGGTTTATGGTCTCAGGGTTTAGTTTAGTCGGGTTCAGGGTTTAGCGATCATCGTCCTCAGAGACAATCCTTCTCCCGAACCCTGATTTCACCTCCCGGCTCGGCCAGGCAAATCACACAAACCTGATGCGGCTTCCCAGCCAAAACTGGGCCTTCTTCCCAACCTTCTAGACCTCCACCGACCCAACCTGAGCAGCCTCTCTGCTTCTACAGCACGGTATGTCTAAAAATCTAGATCCGTCAACTCCTCCGAAGCCCTTGGATCCGTAGTCAGCCATGCTGGGAAACCCATTGCTTCTGCCCACAGCCTCAAAGCAAAGGTCCATGTTGCAAGAGAGAGGGTGGTACTCTCCTGCACCCCTAACCCCAAACCCTAAACCCTAAACCCTAAACCCACCTTTGGGTTATCTTTACATCTGGCATCCTAGCTCTAAACTCCCTACACTTCCTGAGACCCTGAACTCCCGACTCCTAAACTCCCAAGTCCCCAAACCCGACACCGCAAACCCTAAACTCCCTAACCAAACCCTAAACCCTAAACCCTAAACCCTAAACCCTAAACCCTAAACCCTAAACCCAAAGCTCCCGAACACCCCAAACTCCCCAGACCCAATGCCCTAAACTCCATAATGTGGGGGGCCTAAGTGAATATCAATACCAGTTTGAAAGTTCGATCCTTATTATGATTCCAAGACTCTATTCTAATTACTATCGAAACCCTAAATGCAAAACCCTGAACCCTAAACCCTGAACCCTGAACCCTAAACCCTATAAACCCTAAACCCTGACCCTGAACCCTAAATCCTAAACCCTAAACCCTAAACCCTAAATAGTAAACCCAAGTGGCCACCCAGCCGTAGCACCGCCCCGGCGCGGAGGCTTCGGCCGTCACGGGGGCAGATCCTGTCGGAGAAAGCCGGCATTTTGGTGCCCCTTTAATGGAGGGTTTGGGGTTTAGGGCTTAGGGTTTGGAGTTTGGAGTTTGGAGTTTAGGGTTTAGGGTTTAGGGGTTTAGGGTTTAGGGGTTTAGGGTTTATAGGGTTTAGGGTTTAGGGTGGGCCCCTTTAAATGTAGGGGCCTCAGCTCCTTTTCAGCATGTGCTTACA